GAAGGTCTAAAACTAACAGCACACACGAGGGACAGGCTGTTTGCAAAAAAGACGTAAACAAAATAAGAGTTTTCAGTAAAATCAAACCAATATAGTTCTAAAGTTATTAACTTTTAAGTCGCGATAACAATAAAGTCTTACTGAAATAAAGTGCGCCGAACCCAGTGCCACTTCATTTTATGATGCGAAGCGACACTGCAGTTTTACGTTGGGTCAGTACAGTTGCTACCATAGCCTGGTTTATGTCCACGTCCAATTAGTAACACTCGCCTTCGTTATGTCCTATTGTACACAATGATAGAGATAATAATATACTTAATAAGATACTCATTTTTCTCTCTGTTCTATCGCTGAATTTACGATTATAAAACATTAAAAAAAAATATTGTATATATCATGATACTTTTACTACTTCAGCGCCACCTGTAAGAAAGTAATGAAAGTTTCTTCACTCTTATAAGTTTCTGACGGCAAAAATAACCGTTTAAACTCAATATAAAAATCTGCAAAAAGCACATAATCCGTAACATCTCTGACTCGGTCTATAGTTCAGATGGTAAGAGCGGTGGTACCGATATGGCAATAGATTCTGGTTTGAGTCCAATCAAATCGAAGGAATTTTTGTTAATGGTAATCGATTAATAAAAATAATTATGAAGGTAACCACTTCTTGAAATACAATTTAAGTACAAAATACCTAATACCAGCTATTCAATAAAATGATAGTTTGGTAATACACATGGCTCCGATGACGAGTTTGAGTTATATTCTCAGTACGGGCCTGTATTGAGTCTTTTCGACTCAAATGCAGCAATAGCGCAAGTTCTATATAACTGGGCCCATCGGCTTGCCTTAGGTATTAATTATCCAGCAAAGCAGTAACTTTTAGTTACTCTTACATTATACATAGCACGTTGCATTGGTTAAGTAGTTCAATAGTTATGCTTACATTATACATTGCATTAGTTTCTTAAAATACCTTCGCAAGTGATGGACATATCGATGACAATAAAATAATTGGTCATAGCGCAGAGCAGTGATGCCACCTTTATGGACACAACGAAGGCAAGTATTTTTAATTGGACGTGGACATAAACCAGGTTACGGAAACTGTAGTACGAATAATATGTGGAAAATTAATAAAGTTTCCAGGTGATGTTATTATTTGTAAAATTTTGAAATATTATTTTGCTATCCACCGTAAGGACATTTAGTATACCTATTCATTTATATAAATATAACATACAACTGAAATTACAGACACGTGGGACTTGTCAACTTTGTGCCTGAAGGCGACGTGCGCAGTGGCAGTGATCCTCAGATCTTTGCTATTTAAAGCTTTGAATGGCACAGTAACTATTAGAGTAGGCTATCACTTACCAACAGGCGCACGACTTGTACTTCCCGTGGCTTGATATCATTTTTTTTTTCTATTATTTATCCTGCAATCAGCCTTGTTGACTATAAAGAGATGGGTTGTAGTATTATCACATTGGAAAAGGTGCTACTCCCAGTGGAACCCAGCAGTACAGATTGTTTAATCACGTATTTTGCAGACTATCGTGGTCAAATATGTCACGCCTCTTTTTAGTCATATGTTTTCAGGCATGGTGAGCTGCTTGGCTAGTTGATTTGGGTGATGTTGCAGGCGGGTGCTGCGGGTGCACCATATGAGGCTATTTCTTCTTTAACTGTGGACATGTCAAGAAATTCGTGGATCTCCATTGTTTTTATGAACCATGTCACGTTTGATATTTGACGAAGTGTATTGCTTTGCACCCTTTAAATAATCATTACATTGAAGGTGCTAGCAACTTCCCAGAGTTGTATGCCACATGACTAAATTGGCTTTTCAATTGTTTTATAAATTAGCCGTTTGTTGGCAATAGTCAGTTTTGGAATTTCGTCCAACCAGGCAGTGCAGTGGTTTTAATTTCAAATTGATCTCTTTTGGTTTGGATGTGCTTGATATCACCAAAAAGCTTATTTCTCTTCTTCCTTCTTCTTTCCAACTTCTGTCCACCCAATGCTGAGTGTAGATCTCTTCCAACACACTCCATTCTTTCCGATCCTTGTCTGTTGTGCCTTCCCCATCCAATTTTTTTCCGCCACTTTGACAACCTTGTCAAGTATAAATAAAGTATGATAATTACATGTTTCTGACCTTCAAATGTCGAAGTCACACACATTAACTGCAGTTCGACTTATGGAAGTCGAGTCAAATCAACCCTTTTATTGTACCCCTTATTTTTGTACGAACTAGCTGAGTATCATTCTCTAATTAAAATGTTCATAGAGATTGCTTGTCTGTCGCTAATAACTTCATATTATGGCGTTAACTACCAGCTCCGACGTTATATTGAAGCTCTAATCGATTTCACGGGCTTGTGAAAACTAGTCCATTAATTGTTGTTGGCGTGTCTTGTAAACGTATTAAGTTCAGTCATCAGCTGTTGTCTAAAGATTTCTTTTATGTAGTCAGTATCAAAATTATACAATTGATCAGACGAAATAAAAATATTTGCACATAAATGAAGACGCACTTTTCAATGATGAATTACAATAAATTTATTTTTAAGACATTACAATGCAACTACATTTTTTTGAATTGATATTCAAAATTTTTTTGTAAAATTACTCCACTAATTTGTATAATTATTAATACAAATTCCTTCGATCCGGCCGGATTCGAACCGACGTCTGACGTCTTCTAGCAAACCGCTAGACGCTAGACGCTATGCCAAATAAGCCACGTAACGAACCAGCGGACCTCACGAATTCTTTTATGTGCTTGTTGCAGATCTTTGTTTTTGGTTTTTAACGACTTTTTGCTTTAGCGCCATATGTGAGAAATATATGAAACTTTTCTACACTCAACCAGGTGCCTTTAGAGCTACCAGGACCTGACTAGAGATGTCGCTTTAATAATTGTAATTTTGAAGTTTATTGAATGTAACTGTTTTTGACCACCATGATATTCAATTCTTTTTATGAAATTACTCCACTAGATTGTAATAATTATAGTAGCTAGGCATTGGTGGTTCTGGACCACTCGTGCAATGGGAATGTGGTGGACTTTATGGCGCATATGTGTAAGGGCAAGAATGGTTTGGCGAGCAGTTATGTCGTTTTGATTCTGAGTGAGAATTGTAGGTGTTGAGTCATGGTTTGGATGGGGCTTATGTTGGTTGGTATAAGGTTGCTGTTTGTTTGGGCGGTGTTTTGTGGTAAGTTGTGACGTTTTGGTGCTATAAGGTCCACATTCCCACTGTACGAGTGGTCCAGAACCACCAACGCCTAGCTACTAATTATTAATACAAAGATAGAACACCAACAAAAACTCCTTCGAACCAACGTCTCACAGCAAATGCTATACCAACTAAGCCACGGAACGTACTAGTGGACCTTACGAATTTTTCTGTGCTTGGTGCAGATTCTTATATTTAGCTTTTGGAGTAATTTCACAAAAATAATTGAATATCATGGTAGTCAAACATCGTGATATTCAATAAAGTTAAAAATTACATCTATAGAAAATGTTACTAAAATTGTTATTGTCTAAAAAATTATTGTTCTCGACATCAATAGAAACTTCAAAAGATTTTGAAACTAAGTTGTACAAAGCCCGTTTTTGTCCCATTGTATTCAAATAATAATCGATAAAGAATACATTACGAATAAAAATGTCTAAAGAGATATGTTTGTACTTAGTAATTACCTGTATTCAATGTTTGTGCTAACATTGTTTGCAATAAATAAATAAATAAATGCACCAAACGTATACCTTAGTTACATCGGTGTTAAAGTCATTACTTTAATTTATTTATTTATTACATTATTTGTCAAAATTCTAATTTATGTCGACGTTTTGCCATATCGAAGGAGTGTATAACCGCTTCGGTGCCATATTCCTCGTATTAGGATGAGTCTATTGTGAATGCTAAAATCTGCGATCGTCCGCGGTTTTCTACTGTGACATTTTCTGTACGAAAATCGGAACCTTGAGCTACCCACTGCTTGTTTTCTTGTTTTAGTGACCAAATCTTTTCGTACATATACGACAATCAAGTTACCCACATAATAATAATATATAATCGCTCTACTTATACATAACAAGATTTTCCACACGCAAAAATATTGTTGTTTTGAATATTGCGCATAATTTATATTAAGGAAACCGATGACAACTTTAAAATTCAACCAATTTAAACAAAACCAAAACTTTAGTAATTCGTGTATACCTACAACGAGTTTTTAGGTTTTTGCGGCACATTGGAAATGAAACTATTTTTCAGATGTAAATTGAGTAGGTATATTTGTTTTTTGAAGCCCATTAACTAACTATTCGTGTATGTCACCAATTAAGTATTCGTGTATGGGTACGATTCCCATCAAGTCGTAACGTACGTTTGTTAATAGAAACTGCAAATTGTATACTATTACCCCACATTTGCTTTCTCAGCAAAACTGTATGTAATGAAGTTGTAAGACGACATGTCTCCTCTAATGCTCTCTAACTATGTTTGCTATTTTTATAGACACGGCTTTCCACCCTCCACTCCATTTTTCCAAGACTTTACGTCCTTTGCGAACGGCGCACTATTTTCTCTAACTTATTTTCTTGGCTGTTGTCTCTGTAAACAAAATTAAAGCCTGCTTGAATTGTAATTTAGGCAAGCCTTTCTGAAACAGATGGCCCAAAACTTTCGACGCCTCAATTTGTGGGGATTTAGGCATAATTATATTTATAGGTCGTTTAATTCCTTGAAATATAAACTAACTGTTACAGTTGGCAAGTGAGAACGCTGATAGGTATAGCGAAGTTTACTTTAACAAATTGTTTTATAATAATTCGTGAGTACACTCAAAAACTTTATACACGCCTACTCTACCACGAAGGTTTCCCCCAAGAGAACTTTAAGCCTCTTATGCTCTTATAAATTAGTTTCCTCTTTATGACGCAATTAGAGGCATGTGTTGATAATTTTGTTTCCACGCAGGTGACGGGTGTGGTGGGCAGGGCAGAAATGCTGTCCTCTGTATTCTTCCTAGGGGCCTTGTTGTGCTACGCACGCGCTGCCAGCAGACGACGGTGTACAGGTATGGAACACCTAGAGTTTATGTCGTAATTATTATATTATATTCATTAAAGGGCTTTACACAGACACTCTTATAATTAAAATACTCAATAAAAGCGAACACGAGCAATCGCGTGCAAAAGAACGCTACGCTTCTGACCACGCGCGATATAGTGATTATGAAAGGGGGCTCATGAGTCAAAAAACAATATGCTAGTACTTTCTTACAAAAACTAAACAGTTTGTGAAATTAATTTGGTAATTAATATGCGCTCTAAGCGTTTGTGGATTATATCAGTATTTTTTTATTATACCTCTATTATACCTGTGCGTTAATTGACGGAGGGGGGGTACTTGTCTTGTGTTCCAAATGTAATTCAAAGAAGTACAAGTACACGATTAAGGGATAATAAGAATGTTTCTATATTATAATTTCCAGACTGGCGCTACGTGGCAGCATGCACGGCGTGTGTGGGCATCGCGATACTTTGCAAAGAACAGGGCATCACCGTCACTGGCGTTTGTGTCGTCTACGAACTCTTCGTTGCGCAGAAGGTGGGACTTGAAGTAAAATTTACCATGAATACCATGATACAAGACAAGTAGTGTAACTGTTGCCTGTTCGTCACGTAAATCCTCACACGTCATGTTACGTCTATCGCTGAAAGCGTAGGCTTGTCACGTTATTATTGCTTGTGAACTTCTTTTAAGTATGAAAACACTTCTGTCAGAAGTCACCACTCTTTCAAATCGGTACAGTTATTACTAGAGTAAATGCTGATCTTATTATGTAGGCTAAGTAAAACTAAAAATTAATAATGTGTATGGTTGCATGTGCAAGTGCGTGCGTGCGTGCGTGCGTGCGTGCGTGCGTGCGTGCGTGCGTGCGT